TATGCGGGCTCCTCAGTTGGACGCATACGCTCCAATGCGAAGATTTGCTGAGGGACTTGGGCACTGGATGCAGGTCATGGCTTGAAAGTTCAGAACGTTTCATGTGAGTGGGGGCAATCCTGCCCATGATTACTTTTACGTATCCTTGGTTTTTCGCAACTGTCGTGAGCTGACTCAATCCGATCAAATTATTGCTTCTGGTACGCTTGATGCCCTCAAGTCCACGCATGCAGGGCACCGCTTTGAGAAGTTTGGCCTTGTGGTTGATTCGCTGGATGTCTTTGTCATAGCAGATTTTTGAGCATTCACTTGTAATCAGCAGGATTTTGTATCAGAAGTATGCTTTCCGTGGGCTGATCTACGAAGTGCTACCAAAGACTGGAGCATGTCACGGTTTCCTTGCCCGAAAAGAAGACAGTCTGTACAAGGCTACGCTCGCAGCCCACGACCATCTCTAAGATGGGCCGAGATCTTGGTCAAGCGTTTGATTTCGTTGAGTTTGCAGACTTTGGTCAGCGTAAGTGTCGAGGAGGACAACATTTGACTAGCAAAGGCAGCAGCAGCGACATGTGAAACTAATGGGTTGTGAATCTGCCAGCATGCCGCGGCGTTCTTTAAGTAAGCAGCGGCCATGCAAGAAGCTTCTCGTCATCTAAAATTGGACAGGCTTGCGGCAGTCTGTGCCTCAGGTTTCCAAGGGCTGCAGTTCTCAGTATATTCGGCGCGATAGGATTGTAATTCATACGAAGCGTTGTAGCTGAGGCAGAAGCCTAGTATTCTACACCCCTTCGTGGTAGCAGCCCAAGAGTGCCTCTGTTGTCACAGTAGCACCATGTGCCAGTAGTTGAAGTTGAGCCTTGTCTAAGTTGAGAGCGACCCGGTACATCGTGGAGCACAGACTCTTCACCGTACTCACAACTCTCCTAACAGCCGGCATCACAGCTACTGTGTGACTGCGTGAATCAAGTTTCGTCTGTCGATGCCAGTCGTGTCCACGTGTAACTCAGATCTACGCCCTCACCGGCGACGATTTTCGGCTGCTGCTCACCCACAAGCCTGCAGATCCTGCCGACAGCCTTCAACATGCCATCTTCAGCTCCAGAAGCATGACATCATCATGATGTGGTGCATGGCCCTGCTGAGGTATTTGACTGGCTCACCGGGTTTTGCATCACCGTCTTTGTTCTGGAAATCGTGTTGTGCATGTTCGCGAAGGCCCGCATCATTCTTGAACAGGGATGCTGGAAGTAGGCTGGATGGCCCAGCGCAAGGATGACTACATTTTTAGCTTCTTCTTTTTCTTGGATATTATCTCCACCGTCACCTTGGCTCCGATCTCGGTCTGCTGCTTGCCATGTCAAAGCCCACTGGCCCAGAAGTATTGCAGGTGCTCGACCTGACTTTGATCGCAGACAGCATACAAGGAGACGAAGAGGACACGATACTCTCTATCCGTCACGGCTGTCACAGACTCTTTGGCTATGCCGCGCAAAGCTTCCGGCCCAGGATATGTCCAATGACCAGTCGGTGTCGGGAACGGCAAAGATTGGAGCTAGAACCTCTCGAGTAGTCCGGGTCCTGAGGCGCCTTTGAGTTGGCCAGGCCATGATGAGTCTGCATTTACTTCTGTGATGTGATTTGCAGGCTTATACGTATCATCAAGCTGTACAAGGCTATCTATGAGGCTAGACAATTACAGAAGAAGAAAGAGGCCAGACATTCATCCACTCTGTTTGCGTTTGCGTGTTCGCCTTGCATCTGTGCAACGCACCTGATCAGGAGCTTGCGAAGCAAATCACTCTAGAGCAAATGTACCCTGGAAACGACGACGAGGACTCCTATGATGACATGGAGGCCCCAAGCGTGTTTGTGATTCAATATACGAAGCCCATGCTTGTGCTGCCCTGAAGGTGCAGCAGGCAAGTGGGATGAAACAGGGCTCAGGACATGTTGCGTTGCTGTGAAATGTGGCCATCACCCCAGGAGAGTTGCTGCTTGGTGTGACATGTATCTCATCAGCTGTACTTCGTTATGGAACTTCCCCAGCTTCCTGATATCTTTGAATCATCGGATTGGCCCTTTTGCGTCTGCTTCATTGCCACATCGCCGAGTGTGAGTTGTAAGCACATGGGAAGTGCAAAGAGGCAACAAATGAGAAGCAACATCTTGCAATCGCTTGATATCAGATCGAGGTGGCCTCTTGACTCAACACTCTTCACACCCAAGGCTTCAATCCGAAAGGACAAACCGTGGACCCCAACATTCAAAACCTTCCTGCTCGAAACCCGCAACCATGCATCGTTGACTTGTAAATAAAGGAGGAACAACAAGTGAACTTGAGCATTGTCTGGATACAGATTTCTTGGATCACAGGACATTTTCCTGAACAAGGCATAAGTCAATCCTTTGTCTGTGATCTAGTGTTTTGGTATTTCTTTTCAGGTAATTATTCACGTGAGTGGCCATTGTTTGTAACTAACTCAGCGAATTGTGGTAACCAAGCCTAGCACCGGCACCAAATAATCTGCAACCATATTTCGGAGCAAGACTTTGGCACGTGCCCACTCAGTTTTCTCACATGTTGGAAATTTCAGTTCCAGCACGCGTCAACCGCACGTAAGCGTCGGGGTTCTCAGTCGTCATCACTGCAGAGCTCACAATTTTACCCCCAATATATACCCTATTATAACCCTAATATAACCCTGATTTAACCCCAATGTATACCCTATAAGCCGGCCTTCAGCGGTCTGACACCAAGCAGAGCGAAAGCGGCAGCACGCAACGCAGAAAGCCCTATTCATGTCGTACGCAAGTTTTCCTTGGTTGATGCCAATATTCACGAAAAGGAAACTCCCGAACAGCACAAGTTACGCATGCACATGGTGTCCTGTTCCTGCATCAGAGGTCTCGTTTCTCTCAAGTATCAGAGTCCGAGAGTCCTGCAGTTGTGCAGGCCAGCATGACGAAAGCGCCGGGCAAGGAAAGTAGGGTCTGGGATCCTGGAACTCATTTGATTGTGTTGGCGTGTGCTTGAAGCATCAGCTCTGAGATCAGGTAGGCAAGAAGCTCTCTGAGCTGACCACGCGCCGTGTGATCCTTCTAGTTCCGGGCTGGGAATGATCGTTTGATTGCCAGCCTGGGTTCCATGCAGGTAGAACGGAGAGCAATCGCAAGCGCAAGATTCTGGTTGCAACAAGGTCTTGGTGATGATGCTGGTTCTCCCCTACCTCAAGGCCCTTGACTCATGCGCTTGAGGCTGCGTTTAGCGACATAGTCTATCTAGGTGGAGGAGGCCCAGCAGTTCCCAACCTCTGCTGGATATGGTGCGGATGTTGTGAACGAGGCGAACAAGCCATGTGCATCAATTTCCAAGCTTTGTTTTGCCGCGGCTCTTTGAGGCCCTAGGGCCTGAGAGGTCATTTGTTTTTTTGGGCTGAGGCCTTCGACACATACTTGGCAAGCTCTGCACTTGGCCATGCCGTTGAAGTGCTGGTCGGTCCCGCTTGCGCGTCTTCTAAGGCAATTCGTCGGCTGATAAGGACAAGTATGACATGGCACTGCTCCAGTCTGCCCCGGCACTGCTAGCTCGTTCAGATCCTGCTGGCATTGCATGGCTCTTGCAAGGTACGTCTACTACCACAACTGGTACACAAAGCAATTGTCACTAGCTGAGCTGGTCAGACCTCGATAGGTGCTAATTGGTCGTTGAGTTGCCCAGGAGCGAGTGTCCCATTGTGACGACTGACAGCTCGCGGACTTGTGACAGCTCAATATCCTTTGACTCTCATGTCTTCTGGGCACCCCTGGCACGGATTGGTCACATGCCGTGCAAGCCCCCCAGCGCGGTAACCTGCAGTTTTGTCAGGTAGGCTTCGTGGCCACGAATGAAGCGTTGCTGCTGGAAAGACTTCCCAAAGCGGCAGTGCGCTGCTTCTTTCTTCCGCATGTGTGAATACAGTTGAATGGTGTCTACTCCAGCTAGGTATCTCCAACCTCAGTGGCTGACATGGAAGCCTTGGTCACTCAGACATCTGTCGGGGATCAGGACTCCCAAGCATGATTTTGCAGACTGCCAAGACGCTTGAGCATGGCCAGGCATGGGCCTATGTCTTCGGCCACATGCCCACAAATGCCTGGCCTCCATTTTTGGTGTTAGCTTCAGACGATGTCGAGTTGTAATGTTCCCAACTGTGGCAGGTCCAGACAACTCTTGGCCTCAGTTCCTGTCTTGGTTCATGTGACGCTGCAATGCGCTTGGCGTACACCAGCCACCACCAAGGCTGGAGCAGAGATTGTCCCTTACAATCCCTACAGAACCAGGACAAGTCATGAACTCAGTTCTATTCAGGTTTGCCCGCTTGCACACTGGAGTGATAGCCAAGGAAGCGACGCGGGTTTTCTCTTCTCGCAGAAGCATTTCAGGAAGGTCAGTGGCAGGTGCGATGTTGCTAATGTCAAACGCAACCCTGGCTGGAACTCCAGTGCAGGTCGACTACCCTGTTCCTTGTCCAAATGATCTGCGGCGAGCGGTGCCGGCCTCAGAACCAAGTAGAGTGCTCAAGCTGACTTTAGACTTGTTTCCAAGGAGCGGAAGAAGTATACTCCTCGCTTGAACGTTGCGAAGAGTCAGTCTGATGACCGCGCTCACTTTGAGTTTTTTTGTGCGTTCCGCTGCCCATGGTCCACTGCCGATTTTGCGCATGCAGCTCTGCAGGAAATTCATTTTGCGTTCTACTTCGACTTGCGACCATTTGTGAAGCAGGAGTCTGTGTGCACGGCCAAGTCTTGCCTTGCGCGCGGCTTCAGGTCCCAAATGTGGCTCCTGACCGCTTGTACCAGAGGTTCAATTTGCTGACGGTCGTTTTCGTTTGCATCATGCTGCGTGTGGTCCTCATCGCTGGCCTTTTGCTTTTGCTTTGAGAATCTGGTTTGCTGCAGTCCTGGCCTCCATTGGCTTCACCAATGATGCAAACCGACTTGTCTTGTACCCTGTCGAGAACATGATTGCGAAGGCCCTGGGTTCTTGTGATGTTGTGATGTGAAGGCAGCCTTGTTTGTGCAGGTGGAGACAATTCGGGCAAACCCTTTAGCTGCAATGAAGGTGGCCGATGAGGCCAGACACAAGAAGCTTTGTGCTCATCAGTTGATCTGTCTTCGGCCCTGAGGAGTTCAAGGTAGAGGAGATCAACCGGGCCAAAGCAGCCAAGCAGGAGGGAGACGGCACTCATCAGCCGTGCTGACAGCGCATGTCCCTTGCTGCCACGTTCCCAGGAGAAGACCCGCTGCCAGGCCCAATAGCGAGATCTCCATAAACGATGTTGGTGCAAATTCCCTGACAGGCCTTCTTAGAGTCCATGGGATGTTACTCCAAGAGGGAAAATGCAGAGATCATGGAGACAGTCCTCAGCTTAGCTCTCGTGGCTGACAAGACTGCCTCCCTTGATGGAAAACCAAAGTGACACGCCCTCTGTTTCAGGTGATTTTAGAGAAGACGATCATCAAGCTTGGCTCCCTGCTAGCTCTTGGCTTTGGAGAGGCTACAAAGCAGCCTTTGTGCAAATTTGCTTGGGCAGAGTGCTGGAGCATTTTTTGCACGGCCAGGCGGGTGCAAATATCATCGAGCACAACATGCACGGCGTGGACAGCGCCTGTGTGGATGTGGAGCAGACCTGTTGTGAGCGATTGCTGTTGAAAGTCTACTTGTTTTTCATGCTTGGTACCCTCGCAAAGCGCCAGGCAATGGTGGAAGGTACTCGCGTAGAATGTATCCTCGGTGCCACGAGAATACGAGATTTCAGCACCGCAACAGAGGCCATATGCAGCAGATACTCAGACTCGCTGAACTTTCCCACACCACAAAATGCATCGCTTGCCATGTCTTCAGGTACTTCAGGCCAAGGTGATGACGTTCGTCAACCAAATAGCGGAGGCATGCTTGGCTTATTCGCCAACGCTGATGCCAGTCTGAGATATGTGAACATCTCACTAGATCGTCCATGGCGTCGTGGACGAGTTCCACGGTGCTGCCAACAAAAACAATGGTGACACAGCTGGATGATTTATCTTCTTAACTGGTTGTAGATACGGTTACCTGCTCCCGTTTCTGCTGCCAGCCAGGTGATACCTTCCTTATGATTTGGAGGGTAGCTGGTGATGATGAGAAGGCCAAACAGTTTGCGGTTAGCAACATCATCAATGCGTTGCACATTCTGGACACAGCGAGCAAAGGCAGTCTGGACGCAGCCGTTGAAACATGCTGCCTCGTTGCAGGTCGCCAAGATGGCGGATATGTCTATTCTGGCATTCACAAGGCGCGTCAGCACGAATGTTTCGGCCCGGTTGAGGTGTAATGCAAGCAGGTGCGTGATGAGCTTGATGTTTGGCCTCGGCGTGCGTTTGATTTTTATACCTGCGCGAGGATTCTTGGTGCCATACATCGGACTCCAGTGCTGGCAGCGTATCGTGGTTCTGGCCTTGCCAATGCAGAGCAATGCAGAGCAATGCAGAACTTAGGCTGCAGATTTTTGGCTTTCCAAGGTCATCCTGGCCTACAGCAGCGCTTGGGTAAGAATTGCAGGTGGATTCAGCTGTGTTGGTGTGGTCTACATGGAATAATGTTGAAGATGTGTCTTGGACAGGGTGAACCTCAGCAGCGGCCTGCACTATGGCTGGGCCATCGAAGGCTGGGTGTGGGGAGACCTGGCAAGTGACACCTCAAACACCTCGTTGGCCGCCGTTGGTCTGCTGTTTTCAAGCCCAGTGCAGGAGCAGTGGGAAGTGAGTTCAAGATTGACGCCTCATACTTGTCGCCTAATGTCAGCCACGCAGTTTCAAGTTGCGCAGAGGGCAGACCACACTCCTCCTTGTCCGTGTTCCAAGGTAAGCATCGCAGAGACCGTGGAGCGGGCAACGCAAATCTACGGCGTGAGCTTACTGGTGGGCATGCGTGTAGAGCAGCCAGCATAGCCACCGCATAGCCCTTGCATGCGGGAGGTCGCCGAGTCTGTGGTTTCCATCTGCTCTGCCCCAGTAGCAGCCAAATGCCGCCTCGTAGATAGGGTCATCATTACAGGGTCGGGACCTCAAGCGGAACCAAAGGATGGCCACAAAGATGAAAGCTTCCTGCAGGTCGGTGGTCCCCATGGACCTCTATGTGATAGACTTGGATTACATGAGCCTTACGGTGGGAGCCTTGTGTCATTTCCCAGCATCATGCCAGTGAGGTTCCTCACAGAGCTTTCCTTGGTTGCTCTCAGGTGGAGCCACCTTTGGGACCCCAGCGCTGGACGACCAAGGATAGGTTCAAGGCACCTTGCTTGGGGCTGTTGCCTGGCTGCTTGGAAAAACTGGGAACTGATGCGCCAGGTAAGACAATTTCTCGAGCACGAGAAGGATCAGAAGCTGGCAGACAATGCTGCTGAGCGAGCATCGTGTCATGTAACTGCCGCCTGTACTTCTCTCTCTCACTTTAAGTGGCTTGGATACTGGACTGCAGTAGAATAGTCGGTCAGTGTTCTAAGTAAAGACAATAGAACCAGAAGATGTAGCCAGGTAGCAGATAGCAGCCAACAACCATGTGACTGCTAGAATTGTGTGGTCCTGGAACTGGGCTGCATGAAGAGTCAGTGGTTTCATGCAGCGGAAGGCCAAGCAAACGCCGCATGAGCTTCATGAAGATGCAGTGGCAATGTGCCACAAACAAGCTGGGCATTGGGCAGTTGATGAGGTTAGCATGGTCAATCTCTTCAACGAGAATGCAGGCTGGCTGCTCCTGTGCTGACTGAAGCTGCGAATCAACTCTGGATTCATGCCTCTTGACAGACATTGCCTCCATGCGCTTCCGGTTCACATTGGAGTTCATCCATGCCCGGACACCAAGGAGCTTGTCTGTGTCGTGTGAATGGCTGTGAATCCGCGCGGTTTGAAGACCGGCGCACAACATTGAACTTGAAAACACGCTAGCTGCTGCAAAGCAAAGAAGACAAGTGCTTGCCAAAACTGTGTTTGCATCTCAGGTCTTCAACATGGGGTACCAGAATTATTCACAGGGAGAATGGCAGGCCATGTTTACTTGCCATTAGTCGTTCATGATTGATTCATTTTTTGCCGGTTGGCAACGTGCAGGTAGCACAGCGGATGTTAGCTCGTACGAGAGACATGCTCGGGGTGGAGGCCAGCCGCTAGCAGTGTTGCAAGAAACAGACATCATCGTGTTGGTGCTAAACCAGCTGCCTGCAAGGATGGGCCCAGCATAGCGCTCCTGAAGTTTATGGAGCGAACAAACTTCGAGGCAGATGCATCACAGTTGTGCTTTAGTCGACCGTCTTTGCTTGATGTGAAGGCTCCAGATAACTGGTCGGGCATACGCGATCTTGGCCAACGCCTCAGCATGGGTCTTGCTGCAGGTGCTGCTAAGCTTGCCTCGCAACACAGAAGCCAGCTTGCTTCAAGGGCAGTAAATGGCTAAGGCCATGCGTCGTTGTCCTAAATCAGGACCTGTGTGTGAGATGTGATCTCACTCTACTTGCGATCCACATTCGTGCGAGCCGCGATGCTTGTCTAAGAACTTACTTAGCAGCGCAGCAGCTACAGATGTAGCAGAGATGTACGGGATGGCACGATGAGGACCTGTTCATGTTTAGTTTCACTTATGCCCACTGCAAAACGCAGACTGGTGCAACAGTTGCTAGGAGTCGGTCAACATGGCAGCAAAGACAGCCCTAGAAGTCTGGCAGTCTCACTGTTCTGCAGTGACCATGATGCCTATGCAACAGTCATCATCTAGTCATCCATGTCCGCAGTATGCAAAGCGGCAAGCTGGAGAACGGTAGCCACAACTGAGAATCGCCGCTTTTTAGTGGGTGGCAAGCAGAATGCTGCTGCTCTGAGGCTGCGGATGCACTCTCCCAATCAAATTCCTCCTCACATACGCTGAACGCATCTACAGCAGACTGCAAGCCTCGATGTCCTCTGAAAGATGTCGCTAAGCGCACATGCTTTCATTTTCCGGATGTTGTTGTTTTTTTTTTGTTGTGCTGGCAACAAAAAGAGAGATCCAGAAGCGCAGGGGCTGACCATCGGTTTCGTGGCGCAGTCGAGGGAATGGGACCTTGGTTGACTTTGGTAAGAGGTGCTGCAGCAAGCTCGCTGGCAGCAGCTGGGCAGGCCATCCCAGATTGGTGGAGTTCTATCGGCATTCTTGAACACTCAGGGGATGTCAAGAAAATGAGTCACTGAACCGCACTTTGTGTGTCCACCGCTTCACACTGCATGATCTTTGAAAGATGCAGTCCTGCACAGTATGTCAAGTCATGAACAGGGATAGATCAGGCATCAGCATTTCACAAGTTAGACAATCAAGCTGCTGGGATAAGCCATGCATTTTCCTGCTTCTAATAGCAGGCTGTCCAAGAGCAACTGCTGACCGTTTTGTTGAACTTTGCCATCCTTGCCGCTAGCATGACGGGTTTGTAGACGCCATTCAAACAAACCAAGCATCTCGCTAGAGCATGCAGGGCCTATGTGAGGTCTTGCAACGGCTTGTGCGACTTGTTGCTTGATTGTTTGACAACACCCGAGCTCTAGTGCGTCATCGTTTTGGAATATGTTTTGTAAAGAAATCTTGGGATCCTGGTGGTTGTTCGGGAGTTGAAGTCCAATGGACCTAAAGGGTTGATTGGCTGGAAGATCGACATCCGGTTGAACAGGAGTGTAAACGGTTCTGCTGAGACATGTTTGTTTCAAGTTCTGTTCCTTAATGCTTCGAGGGTCGGTGGTCAAGTGAATGAATTTCTTTTCTATCGAAAGCATCCTTCCTCAAGGCATTATGATGTGTGCTGAGAGTGGTAGGTCGCACACGATGCGCAGCGGCCAAATTAGCCATTCTCATCCTCGCCCTGCACTCTGACTCTAACTCCAAACCCTACGCCGCCAGACGTAAAATTGACCGGGCGCTTACCAGAAATCAACAGCATGAATGGCACAAAAACGACATCGCACCACAACAAGGCAATACGACCACACGCATATGCTAGGCAACAGCAAATGCCACAAATCGATTTTCGCAACAACAAGACCAGCACAGACCAGAAATATTCACGAATACAGAAAACCGAAAATCATCAAGCGCAAGTCAGAGCCAGACACAGGCTAACAAGAAAGACGTGCAAGAAGGCCATGTACGCCACACATCGCGAAAATCACGGCACTGCAACTGAAACATGCCCTGGTTCTATAATTCAGCGCATTGATGCTACAAACAGGGACGAGCCCCAAGCCCTGCACCCCTCGGACCTTTGTGCAGGTGCTATCCCTAAACAACAACGGTGGCTCTCCGAAGCCGGGGGCCATGGTTTAGGGGGTTCACATTGGAGGGCTGTATGGACTACGGGGTACAGCGTTTGAGGTCATTTGGGGCTTTGTGTCCTGGAGGATCGAAGGTTTGGGGTCGCTTAGGCTTTTGGGTCTAGGGTTTAGGTTGTCTAGGGTCTGAAGTGGGGCCTGGGGTTGTTTGGGCTTGAGCATTGAGGAGTGCTGTATGGGGTTCAGAGATGGCGGTTGTTTAGGGCTGGGGCGCGTGCTGTTGCGGATTTAGGGTTTGGGGTGGTTCGTGCTTGACGGTGCTGGCCTTGAGGCTTCCACTTTTTTTGAGGTTGTCCAGGATTTGTGGCTGGTGTTTAGGCTTTAGGGTTTTTGTGATTAGCTAGGGTGGCCTGAGGTTGTCCAGTGTTAAGGGGTTAGGGCAGCTGTATAGAGTTCGTGCTCTGAAGTGATTGATCGAGACTTGGGGGTTGTTGGGCGCTTTAGGGGTAAGCTTTGAATTTGTTTGGGGTTTTGAGCCAAGGTTCTGGGTTGTTTAGGGCTTGGGGGTGGTATGGAGTTCGGTTTGAGGTTGCTGGGTTTTGGGGTTGGGCTTGTTGAGGATATACAGTCTGGGGTGGTTCAGGCTCCAGCCCTCAAGGTTGTTTAGGGCTTGAGGTGAACTTTGGTTAGGCTCTAGGGCTTGGGGGCTGTATAGCGTTTGAGGTTCTTTAGGGTTTAGGGCCTTGGGCTACTTAGGGATAATGTTAAACACAGAGACATCAAGAACCTCGATAGCTCTGGATTTGCAATGTCAGAATGACGTGATTCCCATCCCTCCCCTCCTCCTGCGGGTGCTGTCTCGGGGGGGGGGGGATGCTGTGACACTGCAATATATCAAGTCCATCTATCCGCTCTGAAGCCAGGGTTCCAAACTTTTCTTTGTGCAGAGGGTTGCTATCCGCTGCACGTTTGGTGTCTTCGCCTGAGGCGTTGGCTCTGGCCGATTTGCTCGATTTAGCCACCCTTCTGACCGATTGCGCTGGTGTGCAATGGAGAAAATCTGTCCGTGGCATGTGGTAAGAATGCGAGGCCTCCTGGAGGACTCAATGTTTTTCGATGCGCTTCCCCACAAACCAACATGGAACTACCAAAAGGGCTCTATAAAGACTGTGTCCCATGGGTTCCAGGTCAATTTCTAGGGAAGGTAATTCTTCCTGATTCTTGTTTTTTGGCTGATTAGATTTACATTCGACCTCCCTCCTGCCATGCCAAGTTGATGGGCTGGCTGCTTCATTTCATTCAAGCCTGAGACGCGAGGCCATCACAAATGTACTCAATACAGTGAAAGTCCAATTCTAGATCTGAAAGCTGGACAACGCCCAGGAAAACACCGAACACGAAACCATGCAGCCTCAGCTAATTATAAGGAAGTGTCAGCCCTGAGATGGGGCCTTAGCCTGTTTACAGAGGTTCGCCCTTCAGGGTATTCGTTATGTATATTGGGACGGCAGGATACGGGCCCATGCCAGTGGGCCATGGTTTGAACTTGAAAAAAGCCCTGAATGTTAAACAGGCTGGCTGAGAAGTTAGGCATAAGGAGGGCTCCTTCACCTGCCTCAGGGCACGAGAGCTGCAGACCAATCTGCTACAGAGGGGGTTGTTCACTTCAGAGGGGCTTAATCATGAATTTGTGAAGTCTTCGAAGCCCAGTCTCTCAGCAAAAAGTTCAGGTCCTCTTCTGCAAGATCCCAACCTAAACAGACTTCGAGTAATGAGGTGGAGGTCTGGTTTTGGAACGGACTGTACAAGGGCTAAACGGTTGTGGGTTGTGGAGGCTGTCACCAGGGTTGAGAAGGAGTCCAATCCCCTGAATTTTTTCTTATACTGCTCTCCGTGACCACCCCAGTAAGCCATCTCACTTTTCCCTATTAGCTCAAGATTTTGCTAGCATCCTGCAAGCCTCCACAAGCACTTGCTTCCGCAGCATTCCGCGGCAGTGTCAGCTGCATCCTTGTGGGGATGCTGTGACCAGCGCGCCCGAGGCAGCCCCCTTTCGGGAATGACAACTCGTTCATGCAGTGAGCGCACTTAAAGACTCAGGTGGCACTTGGATAGCCGTTTGTAAGATCTGTCTTAGTCTTTTCCTGAGAACTTGATCAATTTGATTCGTTAGGTGCATCAAATTTCAGGTTCCTAGTGTCTCCTTCATTTATAGCGGACTAAATCTATGTAAAAGGACAGTATAAGGGAACGGTCATGACGTTTCAAAATATGGTGAAAACAGTGAAAACCGATAGGGGCCAACCCTATTTTGATACCCTTGATTTGTGGATTGTCCTTTCGGATGTGCAGCAAACATAGTAATGACAGTCCCAATCAAAATAAGAATCCGATATCAATCACAGCATAAGCTGCAAGAGATCCTAAAACACGAAGGAAAAGCAGGTCCATTCATGCAGTATCGCGCTGAAAGATCCTTTCCTGAAACTTTTCAGGTATGATGAGCCCAGAATTTTCTGAATTGTAGCAGTGCTCCACCGATACCCCTACCGATACCCGACCGATACCCCAAATGGATGGTTGGCGCGTGTCCAGATGTGAGTGAGAGCTGATGAGAAGAGCTCCTGGCCTGAATGGATGGTTTCATGGTCCAAGAAGCCAGATGCCCAGATCTGAGTATTTCATATTGGCAACGGTTTTCGTAATTCCAAGATAAACATTGCGCAGTTAGATAGTCATACTGCGACAGTAAACGTTTTTCGAGACGCCATGCATGGGGTATGGCAAGAAGAGCGCCATAGAAAAGGCTGCTATAGCATGCAGTTCTCTTAACTTCCGCACCTCAACCTGCTCACCCGCGAAGCCCTTGAAGAAACCTACTCCCACCGCAAGATTACTTAAGCGGAAATGGCAGATCTGCCCAGTCGGATCATTTCAATTCTGTGTACAGCATCATAGACGTGGAATGTGATTATATCTGTATCAAGCCAAGTTCGTGAGTCTTTACGCGGTACCAGACTGTCACTAATTCCATACAAAATCGAGTTATCATTTGATAGCGATACGGCGATACCATACAGATTTTTTGAAGGCTAGCGCGCGTGCCGCCTTGGTGGGGGACGCTTGCGGGGGAGGGTTGAGCAAGCTTGAATTTCGGGGTGTTGGGTAGTTGGAGGGGTGTTCGGCGGTGGGAAACTTGTCCTAAGCGTTGGAGTTGGGACAATCCAACGTGAAAGATTCTAAAAGTCAAAAAGGCCAATATACGAATCGAATCCAAATTTTGTCCTTGCATCTAGAACTTGTTGTTTATAGACCAAACTGTGCAAAACGTCAGAAACCATGTACGTGTAATTGCAGATGAGCCGCTGCCAATATTAGTCTTATTACGGAGCCATTGATAGTCGACATAGGGATCCCTCTTGTAGTCTTTAATATAGTCCCTAGTAGAACCCATGTCCATGATATTATGCAGGAAATATTGGCTGTAGCTCATATGAATGCAATATTATTAGAATTTCAACGGTTAGATATCCCAAATCTTTTCATCAGTCACGTTTGTCTATGATGTCTTTGCAGGTGCCATGGCCAGGCTACTGCTGCTGCTGCTCGCTCTTTGGCCGTGCCACTCCGAAGGTGGACGTTTTGGGAGCAACTGAGAGGAAGCCGGTTGCCGATAAATCTTGAGAATAATGTGGATGTGGAGGTGCAGCGCTGCGGATTGTTTCCAGAAATGAAGTGCAGCCCGGGTCCCTTGATGCAGTGCTCTGCTGGCATAAGTGCCTGTTCTGCAGCTTCCAGGGAGCCTGCGCAAGGGGAGGTGGTTGCCCATCTCTTGGCGCAAGCCCCATTTTCAGAGCCTGATTCTGCAATCCCTTGTGCTTGTCACCCAGTCGGTTGTCAACGACTATCTCCGGTACTACTCAGAGGAGAATGCCACCTATGCCGAGGCACGGGGATCTGATCGCTGAGTCCGAGTCCGCAATCAAAATGGCTGTTGTCTTGTGCTCTGTCAGTCCAAAAAAGCGATGACTGCAATCATCAACGACGCTCTGACTGAAGAGGCCTTCGTCGATGTGCCTGCCACGCGTCTTGCAATGCTTGCAGTGTTCTGCCCATTTTGCAAATGTTGGTTCTGTTACCTGGCAAGCTGCGAGTGGTCAAGTTTCTCATTGCAAAGGTAAGGGTAGTGTAGCACGAGCAGATGGTTGCGCATGCAAGCCTGGCAGCCGTAGAGATCCCGCAAGACATGCAGTGTGAAAACTGAAAGCTTCCGACTAATGGCCCTGGGTGATGGCGAGCATGTCATCGTGCTCCCGAGAGGTGCCACGTTGTCGAACAGCACTGCCTGGTACCACATGTCGCACATACCTTCGCTCCTGCGAATTCTGCCAGGCCAAAGAGGATTCCACGCTCGTTCAGGTTGCAACCGGCGGAGCAGTGGCCGCGGTGCTGTTTGCTGGGGGCTTTGTGACCGTGTATGAGCTGTTAAAACGTGTGGTGGCTTTGCACCGTTGCTCGTAAGCAAAGCCTGAATGCACCTCCCCGCACATGTCTGTTTTTCAACGGGACAGAGACTCCAAGGCCATCGTGCGGACGCTTAAGGGAGCGGATCTTGCGGAGGCCAAGAAAGCCAAAGCTCGATCCAAGATTGCAAAGATGCCCAGTACCTGGCACTATCATGCAACCTTGGCTCGCAAGGACATCGTTGATTTGTGTCACTCCGTGTACACAAGCTTCGCAGGGAGCTCAGGTCTGTAGCTGTTGAGCCCAGATAAGATGGTTTAATCCTTGGAATGTGACTTTCTTTGCCGGTTGCCTGCAGCTGTAACTTATTTTTGACTTCTCTCATGTGGAGACCCGAAGTCTGAGATTCTAAGCCAAAACAAGGTGCAGACCTAAACCCTGGACAACCCTCAATGCACTAGACCATTCCAAGCCCGAAGCTGCAAAGAGATCCCCCCATCCTAAGCTGCAAATACGAAACCCTAAACAAGCCCATACCCTAAACCGTAGATCCTAACCCAAATCCCTGGAGAACTCCAAGCCCTAAACTCAGAATCAATGCAAGCCCCCAAGCCATGCACACAATCCAAAACCCTAAACTGGTCTTGAATGCCAAAAACGAAAAGTTAAACACTGATCAAGCCCACACCCTTTACCGTTCAAAGCAACCCAGAACAAAAAATGAATCCAAAAGAAGCTCGAACACGAAATCCTGAAGAACCCTAAGCTCTAAATCGCAGAGAGCCTCAAGTTATAAAGTCCAAGGCCCCAAACCTTGACTTACCCCAAACCCTACACCCAAACCGTAAGCGCACAACCCCAAACCCTAGAAATCAAATAGCCAAACCTTCCCGCAAACAAGCCACCGACAAAGCATGGATCCCTAATGCGAAGCCTTTCACATTGAATTGCATATGGCTCTGTAGCGGAGCTTGGGGACAAGTCGTTCCGACAAAGCCACAGCGAAAAGATGGCATGCAGCAGTGCAAGTGCTGTTTCAGAATACGCTAGTCTGTTAAGCTGTGATGCCAGTTGTCCCCACCTCGGCATGGCGTGGCATGTTGCGCAGACTCATAGTCATGACATGTTGCACCTCGTTGTCGGTTTTGAGCGGAACTATGCGCCCTGCCTTGCTTCTTGCGCTTGCGGTGTTGCTCCGGCATGCGCTTGCAACGTTCATGTCACCCTTTTCCATGAACCATCCCACACGCCCAACCCTACATTAGGCCATGCCCTTAGACCCTAGACTAGCCCTAAACCCCTAAACCCTAAATAGTACTTTCCATTTGATTTTCCATTCTCCCCATATAACCCCAACATAACCCCAAACCCTTAACCCTAAACCCTAAGCAAAAGGTCCGATTAAAACACAAACTAAGCAACACTCGACCCGAAGCCGAGCAGAAGACCCAAGCTGAAACCCTGGAGAGCCCCAAGCCTGAAACGGTACAATGCGCCAAAGATGCCAAAGCTGTGGACTTGAAACAGCCAAACTCGAAGCCAAAAACAGCCCCCTACCCTCGATCAAATCAAAAAACAAGTTTTTAAGAAGCCAACGCCTACATCCTGAACAGCCCCACACCAAAAAAAGCAAAAAAGTCAAATCCTCAACACCAAAACAATTTCACATCCAAAGCCCTCAGCAAGCGCACGCAAGAGCTTGAAGAGCCCAAATATCTTGATCCCCAAAGAAGTCCAAATCCCTTGAAGGAGGCCAAACTCCGAAGGCTTGAAGACTCCGAAGCTTTAAGACCTGTAGTCTGTCTTAGTAGCAGCGAGGAGGGCCTTCTGAGGAGAAACCTTACTGGATTTCGAGAAGCCTTAGACAAAAATCAACGACAAGCAGTTGCGCGTGAATGTGGGTAACCTTCAGGGACGCAACACTTTAACAAGAAAAGCAGGCACTCCTAAGTGTCCTTTCATGGTACGAGGTCTCAGCATACGCTGCCAGCAGTGCGCAGGGAGCCTGGATCTCTGGACAATGCACGAAGTGTTTTGCGCAGCTCTTTTGCATCAGCCGAGGACGAGGCAACGCTGCAAGCAGCTGGACGATGGCGAGTCGGAGGCTGCATGCACTTCAGCATATATCAGCAAAATGCAACAGCTCAGCTGAGTGTCCGTACCGTGGTAGTTTTTTTGACTTGTGTGATATGGGCTGCAGCGATGCAGGCTATCGCTGTGTGAGCGCGTCATGCGCTGTCCATAGGATGCTTCGCAGGTTCTTGTGCTTCCAAAGCACTCTTACGCAGATGCTTCGCGCATGCCGCGTGCCTTCAACTATGGCTTTCCTGACGTTTTCCTGACCTCATGCTTTGAAGGAGGGTGACTGAGGTTTGCGCGTTCGCTTGGATATTTCTGGGCTGATGCTTTATATGTGCACTTGGCTGCAATTCAGCTGAGGCTTTGATTTGGTGTTAGCTGCTTGCATCCGAGATAGTTGGGTGCGGCTTCGTGGGATACCGACCGCACATGTGGCTTGAGAGGCGAGCTCTTTTTGGATTGTCTCGTGATAAAGGCACGCTTTTGTTTTGAGTGCAGAGGCTTGGACATCATGCCTTGCAAACAGTCGCGAACCTGACATGCCTGGTGCGAGGGCCTCCTTCTCAGGTGTGGTGAGAAAGTGAAGAACATGGAATGATATGATATATATATATATACATAACAACATTGGTAATAACCAATCACAATAACAGTTGTAATCATAAAAGCATTAATAATAGTAAGACTATTAATCGCAAGAATAATACCAGTAATGTTAAGAATAGTAGCAATCATGATAGTAATAACAAAACTTATGATCTGAGGCCAGGCCTTGAAGTCCGGCGATGTACACTGGCCTTTGCGTACATGGCGGAGGACACTGCTCAACCTACTGGTGCTGAAGGGGTGTGGGGGACTGAATATAGGTACAAGTACTATTATAGGGCTATACAAGGGGATTATATGGGGATTATTATACGGATCCAATCCCCACTCCCTTAAGCACAAGGAAGTCAACACTTGGAGGAGAAAAACCTTGTCATTCTGAAGTCAAGACTTTCATCACAAACAACGCTTCTCTTGCAGAGGCTCCCCAACTGTCAAACTGCCATCAGGGCTGGAAATTCAAAGGGGAGCAGATACAACAGAGCCTTTGCAACTTTTGGAGAATTTCATGTTCCAACCTCATATTAGGCCACTATCCAATGCTGGAGGGCTTGTCAGCCGAAGCTTCCGAGCATTTCTTCTACAAGCCCTCTGGAAGGCCTCATCCATTCCCTTGAGACTGGTGGCTCTTGCTCGAAAAGCTGACGCAGGAGATGCCCGACTCTGAATATTCCTGAATAGACTTGCAAGAGGAACAGGAGGTTGGGTGCTTGCTTGGCTGGCTCTGCGTCCAAGGCCATGCTTAGAGCTTTGCGTACATCCACACTTGGGGTCTTCGGCCTCTCGCGGATATTGAACGGTGCCTTCTGCATGCTGTGAACCCAGTCTTGCTGTGCCAGCAGCAGTTATGCCTCCACCCCTCTCATGTGCAGATGGTCATGTAGTAAATGACGTGGCTCTGACTCTGCTAAGAAGTTCTTCAGGCTAAGTTGTTGTGGAAGACCTAAAGATCCTCCCTCTCCACTCTCTGCTTGCAAGAGTGTGTCTGGAAGCGTTGGCTGGCTGCGCATCTTTAGGTGGCTGCTGGTTGCCTCCAGGCGACACGTGTCCAAGAGGATGCAGCCCCGACTCGTTTTTTGGAAGACTTCTAGAGGTTGCAGTTGCAGAGTTCCTGTCTGCATGCAGGTTAGCACTGCAGCTGTCGGGTGCTGCTGCAGCTTATGCTGGAGCCTGTGATGGAGAAAGGCTGTGATGAGAGCGCATTGCGTAAAGTGTGCACAGCTCGTGTGGCCACGACTGCAAGGTCATGAATTGGGCATGGTTCTTGCGCCTGATGAGCCGAGCGATATAGCGCTGAAAAGGAACTTGCCAAGAGTTGTTCGGCGACTGTTTGCCTAGCAAGGGACCAGGCTGATTTCCTTGCCTTTTCATGCCAAACTTGTTTGCTGTTTGCTTGTGCAATGCGTCAGTCACGACTTGGGTCGATCAACGAGAAGGCCCGTTTGAAGGCTCGGCTTGTGACACGTACTCAGCAGCTGCAGACATAGCTGCAAACTTTGCAACAGAAAGCGCACGAGAAAACGGTGGCTGAGTATGTGGCCGTGATGAAGTAGCTGTCCCAGCCACTCTGTTCTTTGTCTATCGTCCTAGAGCTGGCCTTTCTCTTCCAGCTCACTATCCTGTTTTTGTTTTGTTGATCTGTAGGCAACTCGATGAAGCCCTCCAGGCCTTGTCAAACACTGCAGTTGCGTCAGTCTCTCCACAGATGAAAGTGTCACACAGGCGGTGGAGGGCAAAGACTGGGCTGATAAGCATGGAGTCAAGGCAGCTTCCAAAGTCCGAGCTTTGTCAGCTTGACCTCTGGGCAATGCAGGAACAGATAGATGCGATGTACAAGGCAGGTCTGGATCGTGGCATGCCTTGTCACATGTTTACCTGCTAGGAGGCGCCCCTCTCGCTCCTGAGCGAATCTGTCCGCCCAGGCAGGTTCCTACAAGGCTCTGATTCAGTAGCTTGTTGGCTCTTGTGACACCTCAGGCCACCCACTGGGGCTGCAGCAAAGCTTGGACCTGGCAGCAACTGCAGCTGCGCAACTCAGGTGCGGAGTTGTTGGGTTCCAACTGAGACCTAGGGTCGAGAGCATTGGGTCCAAGAGCAGCAGCTTCTGGGCCCTGTGCAGGAAGCTGCGCCAATTGCTCTGACGACCGAAGACGAGCGGCAAGCGTGCTCAAAGACGAGACTTGCCTCGCTTGCAATCCGGAGTAATCTGGTGTCTACTTGGGCAACATACGGCCTGTAAGGTAGGCATGCAAGACTAGCAGCACTTCGAGTCGCGTCATTGCTTCCCCTAAGAAAAACATCATCTTCCCTTCCGCCTGCTCCTGGAAAGGAAAAAGTATCAAGACTGGAAACATTTTTTTTCAGGAGCGAGTCTTTACCTGCGGATCCCAGTCAAAGCTTCCTCAACACTTAAATGCTAGTGTGAGTCTGTTCATCTTGAACATGACTACCTGCGCGCACTAGGCGCGGGATTTCTCAGTCACGCATGCGTCTTTATGCCTTTGCATGTCCGCTAATGTTAAGCCCTTGCATTTTTGTTCCTCATGTTGTTTTTGCTGGCTTCTTTGCTTGCCCTCTGGCTTGCTTGCTTACTTGGTATGCCGTCTTGTTCGTTGTTCTGGTGGTGGTGGCGGCGGTGGTGG